TCACAGTGAGGCTTCTTAGTGGTGTCACAGATATGTCTCAGTCATAGTGATGTCACAGTGAGGCTTCTTAGTGATGTCACAGTGAGGCTTCATAGTGATGTCGAGGTGAGGCTTCTTAGTGATCTCACAGTGAGGCTTCTTAGTGATGTCACAGATATGTCTCAGTCATGACAATGTGGCGTCATAGTGATGTCACTGACATGTCAGACAGCTCACTGCAAAGCTTTACTGTGACATCGCATTGACACCTTGTTAACTTGTTACCTTGTTGCTTCACTGAAACAGCTGGAGCACTGAGGAGAAGGAGCTCCTCCCTCAACCCATAACACACCTCTACAACAACTAATCTAATCATCATCATCATCTCCAAAGACCTCAACAACAGAGCCATCGTACACAAGGCACTCACACTGATCACCCCCCACATTCCAGTACCAAACAACAGATAATGAAATCCATGTGTAGTGTTTGCCAAAGGTGTCGTAAGAACAGTGACTCACGGCCAAACAATGTCTGAATGTGTAGCAACACACAACATGTGTGTGAAGAGTGAAACCTATATGTGTGAGTCAGTCAGTGCTATGCTTCTACACTGTAGCTTTGGCTACATCTAGTGGCAGTTAGCAGTAACTACAGGTCACAAAGCTACAGTTCAAAATGTCTAACGTTGCTTGATTAAAGGTCCAGTGTGTAAGATTTAGGTGAAAGGGAACTATTGGCAGAAATGTAATGTAGAATAAGCCTCATGATGTTTTCACTAGTTCATTTCATCTAAATTGTATGAATTGTAGTTTTCTTTACCCCATAAAAGGCTCTTTATATTTAAATACTTCATATTTACAGCGAGGGGGTCCTCTCTATGGAGGCCGCCATGTTTTTTACAATAGTCCAGACTGGACAAACTAAACACACACAAAAAAGCAAATCTTCGTTTTGAGAGGCTACAACTGACAGATGACTGACAAAGATTCACTTAACAACTGATACCACTAGATCAAGTAATCAGTTGATTGTGTTCTAATGATTATGTGATCTTTGTCGACTGTCTCAACACACTGGGTCCTATCATGCGCCGTAGTAAAACATGGGGTCTGTTAAATTTGATTGATGGTTTTATTTCCCCTCTACAGACAATGAGACTGCAGTGTACACTCTTATGCCAATGGTCATGGCTGACCAACACAGGTAAGCACTGTGGCACATTCACATGCTGTTAGCTGTAGTAACAGGTTTGGTCCTCTTGTCTGACCACTGCTGATCTACAGTGAATTAGTGTTGTTGTCATTGACTTGCTCCATCCTCTTCCCGAACAGGTCAGTGTCAGAGCTGCTGCTCAACTCCAAGTTCGATGTGAACTACGCCTTTGGACGAGTGAAGAGAAGTCTGTTGCACATTGCTGCCAAGTAAGATATCGTTCACTCAGTTCTTAATCACAACTGAGCTCACCACTGAATTCTGGGACTTGTATTTGAAGTATGTCTGAGGGAGGTGTATCCTTGTCTTTATAAGTGTGGGAGGACATGGGAGTCTTCATTTTAGAGCTAGACCTGCTTATTCTAGCTTATTGCAGAAATCACAGTATTGATGTTTAAGTAGAAATTACAGTACAGAAAAGCCACGAAATTTGAATATATTTAATGTTTTACCAGTTGTATAGTTTGTCCACCAGAGACATTTTTCAGTTGATGGACAGATTTTCACTAAACTAAATGGGAATATGACTTGACAAGGTTTCTCCAGATGATTAAATTAGGCAATAAGGCCAACAATTAAATTAAGATATACATCTTCATATTACTTGATACTGATAATTAAATGCCACATTGTTATTTCTGTTAACTTTAAAGACTGATTTATGAAGGTTGTGGTTTAAAACTCTTCATATGTCAAACAGCAAAACATTTTACAAATCTTAGGTGATCATTTAGTTGTTATGCCTCTGACCTGTGCTTACACAATGCACGAGCAGCATATCAAAAAATATAGTAAACCTTTATTATATTGATGACAATATATTGCAATAGTTATTGATATGGTTATTTGTCCTGCCCGAGATCCAAATTTGGAAAGATCTTCTCTGAGACATTGTCATCTTAAAAACTAAGCTTATATAGATATAAACAAAAACATATACGACTATTTGTTAAGATGATGACATCCCACTGCTGTTTCATAATGATGTCATCATGACATTGTTGGTACCAAAAATATTATTTTGAGCATCCTTATCCTGATACAAAAACATGATACAACTCTATATAACTGAGTGTTAGTATAGCAACCAATAGCAACACTAACACGTAACTTTATTTTCAGAACAATTTGTAATTTTGTTCGTGCTTCAATGTTTATATAAAAATTGTATAAGGAAATAGTGATTCATCATTCGTGATTCGTCGTCCACACTCCCATGGTCGTCAGAAAAAACGTGTTAACTGAAGAGTCATGTTTATCCAAATGGTGAGAAAGCTGAGATTGATCTCTGTCATTTATCTGACGCTCACTGAGAAAGCTAAGGAAAATGCTGTATATTGTGTTAACAACACTGACCTGTCACATACTGTGCAGAGCGGGTGTTTGTGCCTGTAGGAAGACTAAGTTGTTGTGTGCTCTCTCTACAGCTGCGGGTCAGTGGAGTGTTTGGTTCTGCTGCTAAAGAGAGGAGCCAACCCAAACTACCAGGACATCTCCGGCTGTACTCCTCTGCATCTCGCTGCTAGGAATGGGTATGATGCTGCATTTCATATCTGTTTACATGTTGCTGTTTTACTCAGTTTTAATTTGTGTTTGTTCATTGCTACGGCTCAAAAATGCCACAGTGTGTTATGAAGTATTTTGCAACCACTATTATTTACTTATACTAAATATTGTTAAGAAATGCTGCTGTCAGGGCTCTCTGTCTGGAATGAGTGGGTGAATGAGAGTTAGAATAAGGGTGGGTGGGAGGGAGGGAAGGAGAAAGAGAGAGGGATAAGGCTGAGAGACCCATGCACACACACCGTGGAAGAGAAGGCAGGCTCTGTGATCTCTAGAACGCTGGAAAAATGATTTATTGTCATCAAATACTGGGCTGGTGGAGAGGAGCGCTCACTCCGTGTGGCTCTACCAATAGTCGATAACGTGAGCTCGCACATCATTAAAACAACAATTAAGATATTATCGCAGATGATAAATATCGCGCACCCCTAGAGTCCAGACAATAAGCACCTGGATAGTTGCATATTCTATTAATCAGGCCTTAAGTAAAGTAATGGACGCTACATTAAATTTTCACATTAAATTTGTTTGTCCAATAAAATTTGAACTGTTGCTGCAATTTAGTTGTTATGTGTTTCTTCATCTCACACACAGTTGTTTCAATATTGGTGTAAACCTGATTAAATTAAAGCTAAGACTTAAATCTATTATCCATCATTTTATTTCAGATTGAATGTGCAACTGTCCCAACTTCTTATGGTTTAACACTGTTTCTGCTCTCTCATATCACAGACAGCCTCCAGACACTGTAGTATACATTATAGCAGCTACAACTGGGTCAGACTAATAGAAACATTTTAAGACATAACATAATTGTATCCATCTTCAAGACTAAATGTAATTTTTAAAGTATTTTTGCTGCTTACTTCTACTGTCACTTTGCTCGGCAGCAGCTGATTGGCTCGTTTGAGAGCTACTGTGACCTAAGATGTTACTGCTACTGTCCATATTCTTGCTTGTGTTCTTTGTGTCCCCCAAACACTCAGTCACACTGGACGGCAGTAGGGGGAGCTGTACTAGCCTCATAGCCTTGACAGTGAACACTAGAGTTGAGAGCATCGCAGATACAAATGGTGCAGCCCTGTTTCATTCTGTCCGGTGCTGTGCTGGCCTTAGTACCCATCATGCTTCTCTATTTCCATCACGTATATTTTTGTGACTCTGCCCTTTTGAGTCGTTGTAAAGATCACAGCCTGCCCTGCTGCTGCCCTGCATTGCTCTGTGAACAATACAAATAAGAAGAAGTTCAGTGAGTCGACTGACAAAATGTGAGTCTATTCAGCGTCCTCTTGACTGATGCATTGACTCGTGGACTGTTTGCGGCACTACTAGTGTGTGATGGTACTGTTACTAAACACTTTTCCTCCACTGTTCCCTCAGACAGAAGAAGTGCATGGGCAAACTATTGGAATATAATGCTGATGTCAACATCTGCAACAATGAGGGACTGACTGCTGTGAGTGGACGATAATCCTCTGGCTGTGGCTCATGTTGTGCTGAATATCTTAAAACCTTATGTTCATTGTTGCTTATCAAACAACTGTGATGTTCTATCTATATGACTGGTGGCTAATGAACTCTTGTAGTCACACTGTCCTTGTGAACCTCTGCTACAGATCCACTGGCTGGCAGTGAACGGGCGGACGGAGCTCCTCCATGATCTGGTCCAGCATGTGACCAATGTGGATGTGGAGGATGCCATGGGGCAGACAGCTCTACATGTAGCCTGTCAGAATGGACACAAAACAGTGAGAAACTACACATTCTATTTAAACATTTTACGTGTACAAATTGAGCCCTGATAATTAGTCCGTAGGACTCAAAGCCTCGCAATGGCTTTTGTGTCAGAGACTATTTGTTAAGGTTTCAGGACTTTGTAGCATAAAGTTTGAGGGCAGTAAATATTTAGTTTTAGTGGGAGGGAAAATAGTGTCAAGTTGTTTGTGTTGCCTCAGATTAACTTTGTATTTCCTTTGATCAATATTTCCCCATGAGCCTTGGCATCATCCTCAGCCGCTCAGTGGCCTTGTACTTTGCTACAGCTGGTTATTTCTGTCTGGTGATAAAATGAAACTTGGCCATGAATGTAGCTGTGTTTGTGCCTAGCTTGCTATTGGTTTCTTTACTGCACCTAAGATGGTAAAACTGACCAGGTCAGTGTGGTAATCCCAGGATTCAAACGTGATTCTTCTAACACATGTGACATATTGTGTATTCAGGAATAATTCATTGACAATGCCAAGCTGCAGCTGCACCAATTAAATACAGACAAAATGATGCAGCCTGTCATTAGCTAGCCACAGCAGAGGGTGCACCCAGTTGTGCTGTGCAAATCTTAAGGGAACACAAAATAAATAAAAAATTTCCACAGAACACAGACTCATGTATTCAGCATAATTCTGTAATTCTAGTGTCTTATTTCTGTAATTTCATCCGTCAGTTTTAGTGTAGCTACTCTGTAATGTCAGATGGGTCCAATACTATAATATGTGTTAGAAATGAAAGCACAGAAACAACACTCACTTTGTAATAGTTATCCTTTGATAGAGATATATTCTTATGCCTTTATGCTATTGATAATCAAGTAATTGCACAATGACAATCTAGACACTATCTAGTAGTAAATCTTAACATAACTGTTAATATTGTAGCTTAAAGTTGTGAATTGTTTAGAATTGTGAAACATGACAGTATTATAGTAAGTGAGAGTGTGTTGTGGTTGTACAGACGGTGTTGTGCCTTCTGGACAGTGGAGCTGACATCAACAGGCCAAACGTCTCTGGAGCCACGCCTCTTTACTTTGCCTGCAGGTATCAGTGATGTCATCAGTAATGTCACTATAGTGCCGTTATGTAATTGTGTGGTCACAGCTCGACTCTTCTTCTCTTCCCCTTTATTCTTATTAATTCACAGGTTAAAATAATACTGAAGTATTAAGGCGTGTGATATTCTAAAATACTCCCATTTACCTTTTGTCAGTACATGTTGTACTGCTTGTATTGAAACTTGCCTTTCTTCTGTAGCCATGGCCAAAGAGACACAGCACAGATCCTGCTCTCTCGAGGTGCCAAATACCTGGCTGACAAGAATGGAATCACTCCTCTGGATCTCTGTGTGCAGGTGAGTGTTTGTCACCTTAACCTTTCTTGTACTTTTCTTCTTTCCCTCCTTGTGTTTTGCTCTGTTCATGCTAAGCTCCTGTGGTTCCTGTTCCTCCCGTCTGCTCATCAGGGTGGATATGGGGAGACCTGTGAGATCCTCATCCAACATCACGGCCGACTCTTCCAGACCCTCATCCAGATGACACAGAATGATGAGATTAAAGAGAGCATGGTACAGTGCAGCCAGTTCGGCACTACGTTCATTGATAAGCCCTTTGTATACATCTATTGAGCCTGTGTGTGTGTGTGTGTGTGTGTGTGTGTCTGTGTGTGTGTGTGCGTGTGCGTGTGTGTGTGTGTGTGTAGCTCAGGCAGGTTATGGAGCATGTCTCTCAGCAGAGCGACAATCACTACCAGAGGATCTTGACTAGTCTCGCTGAAGTGGGGACCACCAATGGACACAAACTTCTCAGGTAGAATTGTACAGTCAATATTGAAGAAGATATAAATAAAAGGGATAAGTACCCAAAAATAAATCTACTTAAGTAAAGTACACATCATGGAAAATGTACTTAAGTACAGTAACAAAGTAAATGTACTTTGTTAAGTTCCACCACTGCCCATGTCTCAATTCTCAGTTACAGGTCTGGTTTGTAAATGTGGCTCGCATAGCTTACCACAAAGATAAACAACCCTGTTCTGTCAAAATGTACTAACACACTGAATTTGTGGTTTTTATCTCCCTTTTTCATCATGATATGATAAACTGAAACCAGGATAGATTATGGATCACTGAACAGCCTCCTCCTCCTGTATCATGACTCAGAGGGATCAATACTCATCTCCTTCCCTGACTATAGACACATGACATCACAAACAGAAAAAATACTGTGTGCACTTGTTGTTTCAGTGTCAGTAGGTTTAGTTTTATGTAGTTCATACAAATCTTTGCCCTGTGTCCCTCCTCAGCCTGTCCAGTAGTTTTGAAGCTCAGATGAAGAGCCTGCTGAGAATCGTTCGTATTTTCTGCCACGTGTTCTGCCTGGGGCCTTCGTCACCCAACAACGGCAACGACATGGGCTACAATGGCAACAAGACGCCTCGCAACCAGGTCTTTAAGGTGAGTGGGAGGTCACATTTATCAATGCACACCTGGAAAATTTGTTTTCCTGCCTGAAAAAGGAAGGGAAAATGGGGAAAATAGCACAATGTTCCAAAAACATGAATATAGTCACAGTGTTTTCCTTTTGCTGGGGGGGGGGGACTCTCAGAGAGTTCATTTTCTTGAAAGTTTAGCCATTTACATGACTTGTGGATAAAGTCTAGAGAATTGGGTCCAGACACTACCCGCTTGCTTTTCACACATGCACAATGCAGCAGGAGCAACAAATCCTAAGCACAATCCACTGCTGTGTTTTCCCTTAACTTGCTGCAGACTTTATACAAGTGGGCCAGGCGGAGAAAGTCTGCAGATAATCCGGAGGCTGTCACTCGGACATTAACGTTCACACATGCACCTCCTCTGGAGGACGTTTTGTCTGCAGAGTTCAGTACATAGCTGAAGGCAGCTTATAACACATTCATAGTATATAGTTCACTGTTGTTCAACCCTACCTGGGGTCTTCATCCTCTTGGACTGTGTGGCTGTGATCTGCATTAACATTACTCATATTTCACCTGTGAAGAAAGAGAGGAGGAATTAGTCACTGCAAAGTTGGGGCTGTCACATCCATTTGCCAATTTAAAAAAAGACATTGACTAAAATGATGTCCCCGGAGAGTTTTTTTTTTGCTCCTGTTGTAGATCATTGAATTATTCTATAAATATTTCTCATTCTAAAAATGATTGTAGCACCTTAGTGGATTCCGTGTGCGTGCCTCTCTGCAGCCGTTGGAACTGCTGTGGCACTCCCTGGAAGAGTGGCTGGTGCTCATCTCCACAGAGCTGGACAGGAACAGGAAGAATCCATCCTCCTCCTCCTCCGGGAGCGAGATAGCCTCTCTGCTCCTCAAACAGCGGGAGACTGACCACTCTGGCTCCGCACCAAAGCTTCCTTCCCTGCTGGACCCTCAGATCGTCATGGAAACAGAGGTCTACGCTGACGGGGAGGACGTCATCTCCATGACAGCCAATCGGCTCAGTGCTGTGATCCAGGCCTTCTACATGTGCTGCTCCTGTCAGATGCCACAAGGGTGTGTGCTCAGCTTTCATGTGTCAGCATTCAGATCTCTCAATATACAGAGACGAACTGACTGCTGGAACATTTCTGCCACTATACAGTACAAGAAAATCACATTTTCACTACTGCTACTATCACAGCCACTATTAACAATATGCTACTGCTGACACTGCTTTGTTTGTACAACTGTCACTGCTAGTATTACTTCTGACATACAACTACAGCTATACTCTCAACTACACCTGCTGCTACTATTACTGCCGCTACTGCTTCTTTAAAACACAAGTACTACTGCCTCTACGCCAAATGAACTAGTGCTCTATATCCGATGTTATGTCAGTGCCCTGTTCACTTTCTGTTGTTCGTATAGTATTTCCAATGTTCCATAGGCTCTAAATCGAACACATTTTCTCTGCTGGCAGCAGCAGCAGCTTCAGTCATGTGTCCTTGTCACTCCAGATGTGTTCAGAAACATCCCTGTAGTTGTGTAGGAGGTGTTTTGGCAGCGCTCATTGCTCAAAACTCAATCACTGTTGTTACGCGCAGGCTGCAATGAAATGAAACTCGTGCTATTCCTCTGAAACAGAAGCGTATCTGCTCTGTGTGAATGATTGTGGATGACTGAAAGACACAGGTGAATATCTCCACCGTAGAAAGCTGCTGGGGGTTGTCACACACTTAATCTCTGCTGAGTTTGGTGTGTCATTGGGAGGAGTGACAAGGCCAGAGAAAAAACTCGACTGCAGACACCTCTATACATACTGCAAACTAGGGGTTGGGGTGCCTTAGGTCAGAAATTCAATTCGGTTCTAATTTCATTTGTATAGCCCATATTTACAAATCACAATTCGCTTCAAAGGGCTTATCAAGGAGCAACACCCTTAACATATAATATAATAATATTAAATAATATATAATACAAATATATATAGTTTTAATTTATAGTTCAAATGCAGCATTCAGATTTTTTTTGTTCCTCTGACCCCTGAGGTGATGATGTCAGATTAGCGACAGCAACAGCTGCAGCAGGTCAATTTTCAGCACCACCGGAAACATTGTCATTTGTACATGTAGGTGTTTTTTTTTTTTTTTTACAACTTAACTAAAATTGATATTTTGTATTTGCTTCAACCACCTTTGGAGATAGTGGGGGTTCACATATCTCTATCCATAGATAATCTTCATTCAATTGGAAAAACTAGTATTAATACTATTACCAAATTGATTATTATGCGCTGGTGAAGCATGTTGTTTTGGGGTTTAGTTAATCAGACTGACTAAAACATCAGCCATTATCCTCAGTACACATGTGCACAGGTAGGTTGTTCTATGTATCTTGAAGACCTTACCATTGTTCCTCTGTGTCTTTCTGTCTTGCATCTTTTCATATGACTGACTTTACAATGTTGAGATCATATCCCCTGTGGGGGCCAAACTCCGACAGTACTCCTTGTTCTACTTGTCTGTAAAGATATCTTCGTGATTGGGGTCACTGTCGTTCTGCAGAATGAATTTGTGACCAATCAGAAGCCTCCCCTGAAACTTTTCCGCAGTAGTGTGTATCAGTCTAATCAAAGACGTCGCTATATCTCTGTAAGAACTTGAGACTGCTCCCACTGTGACCAGCCATCCCTCATCTACCTCCTGTTTGCTCCCACATTTATGTCTCTTCATAATTATATGCAATTAGATCATTAAAGATGCTTAATTAACTGCCAGTAGAGGCCTGTTATTGACTCGCCTGCTAAAATTAGCTCTCTCTCTTCCTGTTTTTTTGTTGTGCTTGCTCTTTTCACCCGTCTGTCTATTGGCATTCTGGATGAGCGCCGTCTTCTATTATGGTCCAAGATCATTTTCAGTGTAGAGGTTTTTGACTTTTTTGATAAAAACAAGGGATCTCACTGTCAAACAGTAGCTGCTGCCCGTCTCTTTTCGAATCTATTCTCGCTCCTCATGCTTCACATCCCTCTCTTTCTTTTTCCAGAATGACGTCTCCTCGATTCATTGAGTTTGTCTGCAAGCATGACAACGTGCTCAAGTGTTTTGTAACCAGGTGAGTCAGTGTGGCCCTCTGCCACGCATCAGCCTCTTCAAACAGTACCCAGAGAATTGATATTGATCCAGCACTTTCCTTCCTCTCAATTTATTTGCATGTTTGTCTCTGCTCTCTCACCTCGTCCTCTCTCTGCACAGGAATCCAAAGATCATCTTTAACCACTTCCACTTCCTCCTGGAGTGTCCAGAGTTAATGTCACGCTTCATGCATATAATTAAGGGGCAGGTAAGACATGCTGCATGATTGTGTGTGCTAGACTCTTGACTATAGATGCTAATTAATGGTTCTTATGCTATTTCACTTGTTTTTTTTAACCTCATTGACCATTCTGCGTTGCTCTTTTGAAATCATATTAGCTGATCTTGCACTTCCTGAGAAAGTAACCATGTTAGTAACTCTTCCACTATAGGCACTTTGTCTAACTGCAGTATGATCTATGTTAACACTCCGAGCGGACTTGTAACGCTCTTCAGCTTTAAGCAAATCAGCAGATCGCATCTTCAGGTTCCTCAAAAATGTTTTTGAATATATTTTTACATTTTAGTGCTCTCTATCAGAAGTGGGAACTTTAAACCGGTTCTAAATCGTCCAAACCATTGAAATCTGAGCTTTAAACAATGCCGGTGTGTTTTTCTGAGTAAGTGTAGTTCTTCTCAAGCTGAGTAAAGTACATAAACATTTTCTCATCACCATACCTCTGTTTTATGTTAACAATGCTGTGGATCTAAAAGTACTCACCCCTTTTTCTGTATTTTTATACTTTGACAAGTAGCTCTTAGTCCCTCTGTGTCTGTATGTTTGTGTCTTTGGGGACTTTACAGAAAGTGACTTTGAAAGTCCTGTGTCTTTACTTCAGGATCATTTAACTGTGTTACAACCACGGCGATAACACTTGTCTTAAGTTCCATTTATACGGCTTCATAAATTTTAAGTGCTGCTCTGAGTTGTGTGCTGTTCACCCGCTCTGCAGCATTCATATTTGAAATGCAGCGTTCGAGCCTCGTTACCCATGGATTGTGTCTTGCCTGGGAGCAGGCTCTTGTTTTAATTGCAGACTTTAACCTGGCGAATTTGATTTCATCTTCTGATTCTTCTCTCAGTGCGCAGCGAAAGCCCCAGGGGGGAAAAGCCTTTCTCTCTCATCTTTCACTCTACCTCCAGTGCTTGGAGAACAAAGGCATATACAGTATTATGCAAATAGACTTTAGCTTCATCTTTGTATTTCAGAACCGAAAGCTTTCCGAGGCATCAGTGGAGGCTGAAAAATCCACAGTCTGAGCATTGAAAGCACAGTAAAGTGGTAATTAGTTTAAGAAAAGTGCTGTGCGATGTGGTGTGAAGTCTTGTTTTCCCTCTCAGCCCTTCAAGGATCGCTGTGAGTGGTTCTACGAGCATCTCCTGGCTGGCCAGCCAGACTCAGACATGGTTCATCGTCCGGTCAACGAGAATGACATCCTCCTCATCCACAGAGGTACAAACTGTCCTTACCACCATGGACCCTCTGCTGTTAATGTGTCAGGGGAAGAAATATAATGCACTCTCCAGTGTAATGTTGCCTGGCTTATTAGCAAGAATGAGACTGAAAATTAGTTTCTGATGGACATTTAGTCTCACTTTAGGACCAAGTTAACGCCAAAACAGCTCCTCACTGAAAGTTTCATTTATTGGATTTGCAATCTGCGTCATGCATGTTGAGTTTTGTTGCAGCTGCATTTGTGTGGGTTTTTTAGAAGACTATAAAAAAGATAAATAAGATACGTATATACATCTCCGGTGGTTGCCCCACTACAACAATGCAGTGGTTAATAGAAATAAATGAGCATCCTTTAAAGGATCAGTGTGTAAGATTAAGGTGAAAGGGATGTATAGGCAGAAATGGAATATGAAATAATCTTAGAGATGTTTTCAATAGTGTGCAATCTAAATTGTATGAATAATTGTTCTCTTTACCCTAGAATGGGCCCTTCATATTTAAATAGGTTCTCTCTACATCATTCTAAACAACTGAAGGCCTTTAAGTTTTAACAGTTCATTACTGGTTGGTTTGGCACCAGTGGTTACTGGTTGTAATTTAAGGGCTTATATGAGTCGGGTTTAATTATGTGTCTCTATGTTAATTGTTCATTTTTATCCTCTTATTTGTCAAATATGTCAAACTGCCACTATCATAGTATTGTCAAGTCAAAATTCTTGTCCTTTCTCACTGTTTGATGAGTCATCCTCAAGAGCATTTACTCATTTTGCATCCAATAATAATTAAATCTTGAGTATTACTCCCTGTGACTATAAATCCAGTTATCGACTTTGTTTGCTGCATTGTTGAAATACATCCCTCTGCATCACATCTAGCACATCATTACATGCGCGCGCCATTTCCTATGAAAACCATATGTGTGGGTTCAGCGATTTGAATCCCACATAAGAAAGATGGACTCTGTCATTAACAGTGAAGTCTGATGTTACACAACATAAATAAAGTAGTGGTGCTGAAAGGCTATTGCTGAAAAGATGCCAAGGAAAAATAATATCAAAAACAGCTTTGATATAGTGGATGTAGGGATCATCACTAAGGCTCTGTGACTGAAAGAGAGGAACCTTCAACACCAACAATGTTTGAAGTTCAAAAGGGATATTTACAAAAATTAAGAAATATATATATATATATATATATATATTGATTAAGTTGGCACTTGAGATATTAAAAGTAAATCCATATCCTTCAGTGTCACATTTTTCCAACAGCATCCACTGTGGATGGATCCATCTATAAACACAAAGATTCACCTCGATGCAAAGTTCTACAGTGTTTGTATGTGTGTTTGAGTTTGTCACAGAAAGAACAGGATGCAGCATCAAACCTAACCACTGTATCTGCCCTCCTCATCTCTTTCAAGTTATGTTACACAATATTCTAATTCTGCTCTTCTACCTCTCTAACAGACTCCATATTCAGGAGCAGCTGTGAGATGGTTTCCAAGTCCACCAACGAGAAACTCAAACAGGGCATTGCTGTTCGCTTCCATGGCGAGGAGGGCATGGTGGGTTTCTAATTTGTGCCACTGCATGAGTTGTCAGAAATCAAACCTGTGATGGACCAGCAGTGATCCGCTTCCATGACTTAATGTGTTCCTAAGTGGAGTGGTCTTGTGTGTGTTCCAGGGTCAGGGTGTTGTTCGGGAGTGGTTCGACATCCTGTCCAATGAGATCATCAACCCAGACTATGCTCTGTTCACTCAGTCAGCTGATGGTACCTGACATTTTCCTGTTAATGCAATAACATTCACTGTGAGAGGCAGACCTTTATCATGTGAATTGACGGGGCGTGTGTGTGTGTGTAAACTTCACAGGAACCACTTTTCAGCCCAACAGTAACTCCTCAGTGAACCCAGACCATCTGAACTACTTCAGGTTTGCAGGTCATATCCTGGGTTTGGCTCTGTACCATCGACAGCTGGTGAACATCTACTTTACCCGCTCCTTCTACAAACATATACTGGGTAAGAGAGAGGGAAAGTGATGGAGTCAATGTTCAAAATCTGTTATCTGTTATGGCTCTAGTTCTGAAATGGAAAACAGACTGGGAACAGATCGTTTTCTAAATAAATTTTAAATATATCAGTAGTTAATAATATTTAATACCAACAGTAAATTACATAGAAATATACTGTAAAACTTCAGATCTTGCCATAAAAAACACAAATCCCTTTCTGTACTAAAGGTCATTCAGGTGATTGTTGTCAGTACATCGGTACAGTAATGATCTACTCCAACGAGGTTATATTTTCGTTTGGTTTGTTTGTTTGTTTGCTAGCAAGATTCTGCAAAAGCTACTGGTAAGCAGCTGAGTTTTGGAGCGCTTTTCAACCTTTTACTTGATCTCTCAGAGAATAAGTTGTGTGTGTTTTCCAGGTATCCCAGTGAGCTACCAGGATGTATCATCCATTGATCCAGAGTATGCTAAGAACCTGCAGTGGATCCTGGACAACGACATCAGTGATCTGGGTCTGGAGCTCACCTTCTCTGTGGAGACAGACGTGTTCGGGGCGATGGAGGAAGTGCCGCTCAAACCTGGAGGGACCAGCATCCTGGTCACCCAGGACAACAAGGTCAGTCACACATGGCCAATACAATGCAGAGCTCTGTTTGTTTGGTGAAAGACCAGGCTCAGTGTGTGGTGATGAGGCTTTATTTTAATACTTTCTGTACAAAGTTTTGAATCAATGAAAATAATGCATAAGAACCGTATTCCTGTACCCAGGCTTGACTTCCATATCTTTGTTGCAAGTTTTTTGTCCTTCAGGTTCTGTGCTTGGTTGATCAGGTGATCGATTTGGCCTTTCAAGGATCTTCCACCTCTGTACCTTGAAAATCTGTTTGGTTGCTTTTGTTGTAGTATATTTAGGACCGTTGTTTCGCTGATTGATGAGTTTTGTTACATTTGGCTGAATCTTGGAAGGGGGGGTTATACAACCGTCTAGAGCTCTTAATAGTCATCTGCCTTCCAAAAACTACGATGTAAATAAGTTGTTGAAATCAAGCAAACTGCTCGTCCTGACCTTCCCTCTTCCTGCCACGTTACGCTCTTCCCAGACCATCATTTACATATTTGCTGCGTTGGCTGTCTCTAATGCTTGAGTTTACCTTTCATAATTCCTCACAACATCAATAATATATGTGACTTCCGGAACTGATTAGCCTGTCTCCATTGCATATATGCAGTGAGTAAAAATAGCCTTCAGTTACTCTCATAACAAATGACTCAAGTAAAGGCCAGAATTACCATTTGAGAAAAGAACTCAAGTAAAAGTTGCATTTCTTAAGGTTATAATCGACTTACTACTGTCAGCCAATGATGGCTATCAGTCTGTTCTCTCTTTGATTCAATGGCTCAAGTATAGAATATAGGACAGGAGTCTGTATGTGGCACCTCAAGGCTTAGTTCTCAACCATTGTTATTATATTGTGATCACGATTTAAGGCAAAAAATGTTCTTATCTCAAATCATCAAAAACAAAACAATTCCCTGCCCTTTTGTCCTGATTAGTATTTAAATATAAGCCCAGAAAAGTCTTAGATTCTGATGAGAACACGAGACATTAACTTGTAGTTATTGACTTAAAAGTTTTGAATATTTCTGTGGGTTCAGGCTGCAGCAGTGCGGCTGAAGGTGGCGTTAATGACCATTCCACTCTGTCCATAGTTGGTCTTGTATGATCGATTGAACCCTCTCCTGTAGGTTTTTGCCTGGAGGAGTCCTAATTAGAGATTGCAGTGCTGTAGGGTCCCTGCAGATGGCACTGCCACATCAAGCAGAGAATAGCTGGACAAATAACTATGTATGAATTGTGTCTATTTCGCTTGTCCATCAGTATCTGTGTGTACATTGTGTGTGTCCTCTCTCAGGAGGAGTATGTGCAGCTGGTAACAGAGCTGAGGATGACACGAGCCATCCAGCCTCAGATAAATGCCTTCCTACAAGGATTCCACACTTTCATCCTCGCCTCACTCATCCAGCTTTTCGACGAATATGAATTGGTGAGTCGTCCTCCTCTGACCTTCCTGTCTTTTTATACCTTTTCCTCTATCTGTTCCCTTCTTTCACAGTTGTATTCTTGTCCCCCTGAGTCTGCCAACCTGCTCGGCTCTGGCTCTGATGCAGGGATTGATTAGCCTTGTCTAGTGGGGGGTCACCTTGAAGCTCCTCCCTCTTCTCCAACTCTATTAGAGGGTTGTCTTTTTTTCTGTATGTGTCGCTGGATTTCATGTCCCCACTCCTGCGTGGATCAATAGTGTAGCATGATGATTATCCCACCCTGGATTTGTTAGACATACCTCGGTCATGCTGTCATTGGAGGGCAACTGATAGGCCCTGTTTTGTGTTTTGCCGTTTCACTCTCACACATTCAGCATTCTCCATGTACATACAGTTTAAATGGAGAGTAAGGATGGTAATATTCAATTTTGCCATTGACATTTCATTTCATTGACAATAAAATTTGATCGAATCCAGTTCTGGACACACTCAAGAAGCTTTAAATTGACAATGAAAAGCTCTACTGAAATAAAATGAACTCATGGTGGGGTTTCTCATAACCACTATTCTTTTGAGCTTTCCCACATTGTAAGCATTTTAACACCAGGTGATATTTGGGCTCATTAAGTGCAGAAGGGATTTTGAGTTTAGTCTATATGCCTCCATGTGGGCATTATCCTGTCGTGTTGTCCATCCATCCCATTCTCGGGAACTCGATATCTCAAAAATGCTTTGAGGGAATTTCTTCAATTTTGGTACAAATATTCAGTTGGACTCATGGATGAACTGATTCGATTTTGGTGGTTAAAGGTCAAGATCACTGTGGCCTCATAAAGTATGTCTATGTTTTTCTTGAGATCTTGAGATCAGCTCGAGGAAACGTCTTCAAATTTGGTACAAATGTTTACTTGGACTCAAAGAGGAAATAATTAGATTCTATATCAGGACTGCCGTGGGGAAATTCATTCCATCTGTCGCATTTCATTGCCACTGCATTTCGTTGCTTTGTAATTGTGACATGTGCAATGACAATAAAGTTGAATCTAATCTAATCTAAAAAATCACTTTGACTCATGTATGTACCTGATTTGGAGGTCAGTGGTCACTGTGGCCTCTCAAACACATCCAAAGATAATTCTTTCAAATTGACACTTGTTAACTGGGAATCACTGATTTGTTTTTGGTGATCAAAGGTCAAGGTCACAGTGGCCTCAAAAAACATGTTTGTTGGCCAAGACTGCTTGAGGGAATGTTCTCAACTTTTGATCAGTTGTCACTTGGACTCAAAGAGGATAACATTATGTGACGTTATATGAAACTGGAAAATAAATGATGCAAAATATGTACATGTAAACTGCACTGCTGGTTGGAGGAGGAATACAACCACAGTGCGGTAATTCTAGTTCTTAAATCTTTAATTCACACTGATTAGCCACGATATTAAAGCAGGTCAGCGGCAGATTAGTGTGCATTTCTGCTTTTTGGTTTCCCCAGTTCTGTGTAGCAGCCACAGGTGATGGCCCCCAATTGTCATTTCATTCACTACAGATGTCACTCTTTCCCTCTTTTATTCCTCCAAGCTGTCTGAGCATCCTCCAACTGAACTGTACTGTTGTTCCCAAGGGCTTCAGTTTTTTGTTTTAACATTTTTATGTCCCGCAGCAGTGTTTGCTTTTCTTTTTCAGTTTGTTCAATCTTATTTCAGTCTCACTGGCACCTTGTCGCCTTCAGAGCTTCCACTACAGTCATACAGGACATTACCTGTAGTTGCATCTTGGCCTGATTTTCTTTGTTTGACTTCAAGTGCATCGTTTTCCATTGTCAAAGTTAAAATGGTCTTGGCACAGGGAAAGGAACCCCACTGTATTTGTGTGTAAACTAAAAACGATTCCATTAAAATGCACAAAATGAAACATGTGAATTACACTTTGAACCAATGATATGACTGAGAACCTGCCGAATGTTTTTTCTGCAGTGAAGAGAAATTATATTGTTGACTCTGTTTCTTGGATGAGGAGATAAAGTCTCATTTCTGTTACAGCACTGCACCATCAGCTTAAGGCAAATACAATAAAAAGAAAGAAGAAAGAAAAATACCCATGAGCAGAGCCAAACCAACAATTAATGTATCTTCTGCATGTGTATCCAAAGCCTCATATATCTCACTCCTCTGGGCAATAGAGCTCTATTGTCATAAAACAACTAATACACACATCAGTGAGCCACACATTACAACAAACACACACACACTTTGGTTAATTTTAACTTGCATTTGTCGTCCTGCTGTCCCAGATACTCACCTGAGCACCAAATGTGAAATTAATCCACTGCTTCTAATAGTTCTCAACAAATACACAATTTCCTCCTGTTTGACTATAAAAAAAAAAAAAAACGTTGTACAGACGTTTTAAGTTCATGAAAACAAAGAAACAAGAGAAAACTCTGCGGGAAGCCAGAACCAACTGAAAACTTTGTTGTCCTCATGCAAAACATGGGTGGGTGCGTGGCTGGGTGGTTGGAGGATCCACAGTAAATACTGTTTCTTAGTCAATACTAATACAGGAATTCAGTGTTACTGCTGTCAGTTTGCATAGCATTCCTGACCTCAGGTTGTGACACAAATTATTTAGATGGTTTCTAGATGCGGAGGTTTGCAGAGTGAGAAAAGGGCACTGGGAGAGGATCAGTGCTCAGTTATGGTAGATATTCTGAATCAGTATTGCAAGGGATATAGAGAGGTCTATGTATCCATTACAATCAGTGCAGGGAAAGAGCCATCCTTGGATAACCAGCTTAACAATCAAACTGCACTGTATTCATTAAATCAGTTGTTGACGGTTTTTCTCAAATACTGGGGTTTTTATGTCACTCATTTTAAGCTTTTTAGCTCTTTTCACCTTTTATAATTCTCAATGTCTTAATATATAGTTTTGAGCTTCAAGCTGTGTGTGTGTCTGTGTTTGGATTCGTATGTGTGCGTACAGGAGCTCCTGCTGTCAGGGATGCCGGAGATCGATGTGCAGGATTGGTGCAGGAACACTGAGTACACTAGTGGCTACGACCCCCAGGAGCCTGTCATCCAGGTGGGCTCTTGTTTCTTCCATCTGCCTGACATAGACTGAATCCTTTAAGACCACACAATTGTGTTTAGTCCCGCTGATGTTTACCAGTTAGGTTTCCCTGACCTTACACACAGGTCGTTACCTTATTGCATTTATGGATTTGTTAAGAAATGTTGAAGGAAAGCTGCAGATTATTTATGCCATACATGGTGCAATGTGTCATCAAACTTTAAACTATTTCTAACTTTCACTACATATTATTTTTCAAGCGGCTGATAGAACACTTTAGGTTTGCTGCCTTCTCTTCCCTTAGGCTTTATGTCTGCATATATACAGTTTTAGAGCCAGATGAGCCCACACATTGGATCTTTACCACTTGACTCTGACACTCGCAGCCGTTACTCATCAAACGTTTAAACATTCCAGAATCTGGATATAAAATTGAATTTGATTTAAAGGCAAATTTATCATTCCCCTTCATGACTTGTTTTTTTTGTTTTTTTCTGACCCACCTAGAGGGTGAATGACATAAATATGTAGGTTCAGCTCAGCACTGAAGACTTCAGCATCATTTTAGATTCAACAGTTAAAAACAACGAGTGATAGGGGTCAGTTTCTGTTTCCAATCATCAGATGTTCACGATAGAGTTATTCATGGGTTCCTCAACCCGGAAAACTTGTACCTGAGCCAGACCCATCTATCATTCACAACCTGGGACCTGGACCCCAAACCTACCTAATGTAACGTTTCTGCTATTCCTCGCTTGTTAATTGAAATAGTAGCATGTTTAAAGATGGTAAGTGACTCATTTCCAGTCAGCTTTGCACACACACACACAAACAAACACACACAGGACTTTCATCAGTGATGTTTGACACAGCCGGAGCTGGGTCTTTTTGGTTCCACTTGGTTATTACACATAATGTTTAATGGACCCTTGACCCACGATAATATAACGAGATCCAACAAAGTCACAACTCAAAGACAACTAAATATTTATATATATACATATTTCCTTGGAAAAAGGATGAAGATGAAGGTTCAGGTGAAATTGTTCCCTATACTCCCCAATATAGTGTAGGAGCCATTTTACTTGAGCACAGACGAGGCAGAATTTTATTCATGTCACTTCCTTGTGGAGGAACAAAACAACCCCCCCCCCCCCCCCCCCTCTGGGATATCAGACTGCATCTGTCTCTCTGTTTAGCCATCGGCTAACCCTGTCTGTATTTTGTTTTCTCAGTGGTTCTGGGAGGTGGTGAAGAGCCTGACCCAGGAGGAACGAGTTCTTCTGCTGCAGTTCGTCACTGGAAGGTTTGTCGGTTGCATTTATTCTATAGTTCTTGATGTAAGAAATGCGTGTGAATGTTTGCTGTAATGATGTAACCTTATTTCTCAGTTCCAGGGTTCCTCATGGCGGTTTTGCTTACCTGATGGGTGGCAGCGGTTTACAAAAGTTCACCATTGCTGCAGTGCCGTTCACCTCCAACCTTCTACCTACCTCTAGTACCTGGTAATCACTCTATTTCTCTGTCAGTCTCCTTGTGTTGACTGAGTTCTATTCAGACCTGTTTTATGAAAGTTTGCTCTTGATCTTGAATCCTTTTATTCATTCACGTAATCCTTGACTTGTCATGGTCTCATGAGTGTGTTCACGGTTTTGTCTTGGTTCATTTGGCTTTTTATTTTCTTGCCTTTTCATAAGAATCATGTGTGGTAGCAGACTGGATAAGCTGCTCTGCTTAAAGTCACACATCAGTTCTCCAGAGAGACATTCAATATTTTAGTTTTTTTAACACTTACTGTATATTTTCCTTTGTGCTTCTTTTCCATATTATAATAATTTCCTTGGCAGTTTTCCAAAAAGAACCATATTATTTATTATTAATTGGTGCCAGTCTCATCTGACATCGAGTAACAGGTTGTGTCACTGCCGACATGACATCATCATATCTCAGAATACAGAGACTAACAACCATCCACACTCACATTCACACTTTTGGGCAATTTAGACCCTGTTCTGATCTGGTATTAACGTCTGTCCTGATGGTCAGTGATAAGTGCACTCAAACCCATTAAAACCACAGTGAGAGGGGGTCTGGGACGGATGTAGCCATATTCTTTTCGCTGTGTGAACACCAAATGTTCTCCAATGCTTCTCAATGTTAATACTGTGGCAGATCACACTTGTAATTTAATGGAATTGATTATTTGGTAGAATCCACCAGTTGAACTCCATTGACCATTTTAACTGTTATGGAATGACATTTAACATTACCACAAATTTCTTCATCTTCATACATATCAGTTTATTTCAGGAAAATTATAGGAAGATTGTGTTCTTCAAAATAGACCACTACACAAGATATTTTCTCTATATTCTCACATTTTAAACCTTTCTAAATCCAAAGTTATTTTCAGTGGCAGTAGACCAATAACACAGTGTAAGAATATAAAATGAGGACTGATGTGTTTCTTTGGACTAGACTTTAGTCGTGTGTGGATCTTAAACTCTAGTTACACTAAGCTTAGATGGTCTTACAGCCATGGCTTAGTGCCACACTTATACTGTGCTGGCAACGACGCTCAGAAGAACTGTGAGGTTTATTCTTCCCTGGAAGCAAGTAAGTGTTCTAACCATCCCTCGCGTTCTCCCATCCGCCCTGTTAAAGATTAAAAAATGACTAAACAGACAGAGAGACAGTATGAGTCACTCTGCAGCCTCCACAGCCAGGGATACCACTAGAGGGCAGTATGTCTCCTCAGAGCCATTAGGTAGTGTCATTCACATACACTGATGGCACACTCTGGAAGTGGGGAGAGACTTCTGCATGGTGGAATGTGCATCAGATAATTCATATGAGCCATCATGACCACAGTGTTGCACAGTGTTGACCATGCCCCCCCCTCCCCCAGTGCGCCGACTCACTTTTTCTCCCCCTCTGCAGCATCAACATGCTGAAACTACCAGAATACCCGAGTCAGGAGGTTCTGAGAGACCGGCTGCTTGTAGCTCTGCATTGTGGGAGCTACGGCTACACCATGGCGTAAACATCACATCAGTTCCTGCTACCATGAGAGTCTGCAGACCCAAGCAACAATCCCACCTCCACATGTGCTCTTTTAGTTGTCAGGTACTGCTTTAGACAAAATAAGGAAATCCAGATTCTTATTGATGAGCTGCTGGAGAGGCACAACAGACTGAATGGAGGCCACAGGTTCTGGAGCTCCAGTCATACCTGTGCCATTACTTTTTTTTTTTTTAAATTGATGCTGGTTTCAGGTAATTTATGCAAATAATAATTTGAAATTTTTAAATTTCACTATTTTCAAGCATTTATGAAAAACAGCATTTATAAAATGAACTCTACTATAGCATAATCATGCAAGCTTACTGAATGTCAAATATCGACTGAGTTCAAGGAGATTTCCATATGGATGCAGGACAGATCATATTGTTCACCTTGAAACATGCTGTCAATCAAACTGCATCATATTCATATCATAGGTTCACAGTGCAGATTCATTTAAAGGGCCTGCCCCAGGCCCACATGCCAGCAGACTGGTATAACAAAATAAATCCAAGATTTTAGTTTTTAAGATTTGTTTTTATTTCTTTCAGTCTTTTAAGTCTTCATTTACCTGTTTTAATAATCCTTGTCCGTTCATTTGGTTTAAAGAAACAGTCCAAGCTTCTCAGCCGCCCCAATGGGAGCATACGTGGTGTGCTGCTTTACCAGCCTCCGCTTTTCTGCTTTCACATCCTTAACCTGGCTGCAGGGATTTTCTACCATTCAGCCACAAGTTACAAGAGCATTAGTTGCAGCCCAACACTGATGTTGGGTGATAAGGCCTTGCCTGTATTTCTGTTCCCCTCAAAGGTATTGGGTGTAGTAGACTTCAGGGCTCTGTGCAGGAGGCACATGTTCTTCCACAGCAACCGGCTCTGTGCAACAACAGGGCCACAAACAAATGATTGACCCAAACTTTAAGACTACTATTATTATAAGGTGTTGTATTAATATGTATCCTCAATGAAAATAAGGGCCTCACTAGTAGAAATACACATAGTTTAAATATACACTCAAGTACTCTATTTGAGCTGCAGTGTCCAAAGACTTTTGGCCACAAAAGTGTGTAAAATGCAGTATTTAAGTGCAAATAATGCTGATACAAATAATGCAATAACAGTGGTCAGGACTCTACAGAAAAAAAGTGAACACAACAATGAATTCTGATGCAAATACCTTGGTATTTGTAATATCATGTCGACTGTCCTTTACAGATACACATAGATACTATACGAATAACAATACAGATACACACAGATACTGGACCAATCAAAAGCACATTGTTAAGTTGGTAAAAATAGATGTCCGTTGGAGAATACCAATGTAGGGGGCGCTAACAATGCAGGATAATAGTAAGTGTAATATTTTTTTTTTCTTTTGGGTAATTACAAAGTTACCGATAAAAATATAAGCCAAGGACAAACATTTGTAATTTCTGAGAATAATAAGTATGCAGAAGATGAACTGAATAAATAATACGTTGAGGTGAGGCTATTGAAGATACTGTATGGCCAATGGGCTTTCGACCCATCTACATACAGTAGCTGTGTGAACACTCCCTAAGTATAAGAGGTATGTGTCATGTAGTTGACTGTGAACTTCTTTGCTTACTTTTGTCTGTATTCGTCTGTATTTTGTGCTTCATGAGCAGTTTTATTTAGTGATAGTTGATTGTTTGTCTATGTCCCAGTCAAGTAGACTTTAATGAGGAATGATACAACATATCTGAACATGTTTGGCTTGCAGTGCCAAAAAGACAAAGCTGGAATCATTTTAAGTGCATTCTTTTTTTGTATTCTGCCGACACAAAGATGCTGAAAATGTGCTGTACTTCTAAAATGAATGGGGACAATGTCATGAATGTATCAGGTAGCTTAGTTTTCCTTCTTTCCATTTGTAAAGGGAGTGTACATATTGATTTAAAACATACAATCCTATTATCCAGCAGTATTGTTTTGAATGCGTCACCTTCTAGCTTTTGTATTCTGATTGTTGAAAATGGAACATTTCTACATACTTCTGTAAATATCTTCAATTATGTAGTTTGTCAGAGTAAGTTTTTGTGCTTTGAGATTTTATCCAATAAACCTTGTTTTGAGAAGCCAGGTGATTTGGTGGCGAGCTGCACAGGAGGGCCGGTCTCATGTTTCTGCTGCGACGAAACAAAAGGGAGATGATGAGAGTGAGGCTGCATGCAGTTGATGCATGCAGCCCGTCAGTGTTGGTGTGCGCACACATAGTCGCTGTGGGTTTGCCTGCATAGACATATGTGGCCACAGCATGAGTGCTGTGCTGGGTCACCAGTTTAGAGCAGCAGGTCTACTGCTGCTAAATGGCCCTTAACCAGTGTTTAGTGAGCCCAACATCTGCTGCAGCACCGTCCTGACAGCACATTACACTGGCTGCGACCTCTGCCTCTCTCCTCACCCCTGTACAGTATCGGACTAGAACTGATGCCACACCACACGACAACATTTATGCAAGCAAATAATGCACTATTATATATGTGTATATGTATACATAAGATATAGTTCAGAGAGACGGTTGAATGTTTTACCATATGGGTGAAATAAATGGAAATGGGTCAGAGATCAGGTGAAAAAACTACCTATGGGTTACCAAGGATGAGGAGAAATTCTCATAATTGAATGAAAAATTATTAAAATATTAAATTAGCAATTTAGCCTTTTGTCCTAAGCAAACATTTACAGTTACTTCAAATTTGCATGCAACATTTAGATAAAGAAACAACACAGAATATAACTATAACATTTGAGTTCTGTTGCACAGAGGGCAGGGTGGATCTGCCAAAACTGAAAACAAAGCTTGTCATTATAGTTTTCAGGGGGTTCATTTGACTATCCAATCAGAACTTTGGAGGCAGGACCATAGGCTCACTGTACGCATCGGTGAAAATGTCAAAATAACCCCCCCACTCACAACGTTAAAGAGTGAGTAATAAAAGAAACACATTTTGTTGTTTCTAAGTTCTGTCTTGATCCATGTAGCATCCTTCCACCAAGCTTAATAGAAATCTGTGGAGTAGTTTTTGTGTAATCCTGCTGACAAACCAACCAATAAACAAACTAGAATGGCACTTAATAGAGCTTAACATATCTCCACCAAGGCCCAGCAGTCTCCTTAACTTCCATCAAGCTGCACCAAATTTCACACTCATAGACATCAGTTCCCAAAATGTGACTGAATGTTTTTCATCAAGAATCAGTCTCTTGAAAATGGTGAAAWAAAAAAAAAAAATCTCATAATGGTAAAGAAAGTGAAAAAAATATCCTGTATTCACCCCATTACCCAGATCTGCACCCAAATGAATTCCCCATACACCATCTTCTGTTTTTTTTATTTTTGTAATCTTGCTAACAATCAGACAAGTCTTAGTTTGGTCCGTCTTTGTTTAGTGGAGACACTTGTCAGGCAAACGTTAACATGGGGGCTTGACGTTGGCAGTCAGAAAGTTACTCAACATGTTGTGTGTGCTTAGCTGGCTTGCTAATTAATGATGAGTATGACTACCTTTATCTCAAGTGGAAAAAACACACTGACCCTGAGACTCTCCGTGGAACAATTGTGTAATCAAGCCTAAATGATGCAGTGTGAAATGAGTGAAAGTCTTCACACTGCCGGTAGCACCTGCAGCTTCAAACCTTCACCAAGACACGCTCCAATCACCAAGGGTTACACCAATGGATTTGATTCCAGTGAAAGGCTGAATAACCTTATCCCTCACCAGAGAACCTGGTCCCCATGACAACCCTTCCCTTTTCACCGAGAATGGACTGCACTCTCTTTTTTGAACATAGGATGCTTGCCATGGCAACAACTTCTTCACAACATTCATCTGGTATTGGCAGCTTTTTCAAGTGCTACCTCTTTCCCGCTGGCAGGCCTGAAAAGGAAAAGACAAAACACAGAGAAGTCAGCCTTACACCGGGGTCTGACGTCTTTGTCACAACGTCTTTGTGCAACAGCTCTGTCACGTTGTCAGAACCAGCAACTACACCTTCAATTTGAAAGAGCTGCAGTAATTCTGTCTGTCTGTCTGTTATAGTGTGTTCTGTGTAGTGTGACACAGTACATGCCTATTTTATTTATAATGACACTATTTTGACATAATTACCGCCCTTCTTATTGTGTTTCCTTCAGCTGCTTCTAAAGCTTTCCCTCTATTTGAAAAATCGTCTGTCAAAACGTTCTCTTTTAGTGCCGTTAAATGCTGTTTTCATGTCAACCAGAGCCTCAATCACAGAGGAGAAAGTTTGATTTATCACATACCTGCGTTCATGTGGACAGAGCGTCATCAGCTCACCTTTAATTTATAATTAAGCCCTGGAGTCTGTTCCTCCTCGACTGGGACTGCCACCCTCCTAACAAAATCTTAAAATGTTTTTTTGTTTAATATTCATTGTGATCTGTTCTCCCATTATATTATTTCACGTGGAAGTGACATGTAAATTGCTTGTTTGCCTACTTTGGGTGTATTTAGAATTTGAATAGAAACGAGAGCGAGAGAGATTTCACTCAGGCGATGTGGAGTGTGTGTGTGTGTGTGTGTGTGTGTGTGTGTGTGTGTGTGTGTGTGTGTGTGTGTGTGTGTGTGATCCACGCTGTCAAAAGAGAGACAGATAGAGCACCTCACTCCGTTTGGTTTACTGTTGCTTTTTGGTGTTGTAATTAAAGTTTTCAGCCCTAATTTGATTTGTTCCTCTTTCCGGCAATTCTCATCCAGAGAGAGATTGTTATTCTGTTATTCTGTTTCATATTATAAAGTGATGCTTTCTTTGTTGGTTTCTAGGCTCTGTGCACAACGTGGTCCTAATGTACATATAAGAACAGTTCGAAAAAAATAATATAGTTCATACACATAATATGTATGGTATTTCAGAAGTATGGGATGTAATCAAGCAAAGTAATTCATCAAAGTAAAAGTGTAACTTTCTCTAGAAATATTCAGTGTGGGAAAAAAAATCTCCCAGCCAAACATGGGCTCTAACGACTGGTTGAACAACTCAAGTTCACTTTATTATCATCTACAACCCACATTGGAAAGTAAACATGCAGCCTTTACAAAGACAAAGGTCAATTCCCAAAACCTGTGCAATGAATTCATTGAACAGTTATGTCAACAGTGAGTCTGCTGTGGAATTTCCTTTCACTCTGTTGGTGACTGGTGGACTAGAGGGCATCACTTGGGTTAGCACATATTTAAGCAGCATGTCCTGCATATAGTTTGATATAATTGGCTTAATTAATCAACTCGCTTAATCCAGGCCTCCATTAATTAAGTTTTAATAGACTCCTGGCTTTAAACTCAGAGAGTGGCTAACAACAGGAACCATTAAGCCACAGAAAAATACACAATTAAGGATTAGTACAGTCAAACTGAGGGAGGGAGCTATATTTACTAACCTACATTGGGCTAGTGTTGCACAGTAAATATAAAGGTTAGTGAACCTGACAGACTAATTATTTATTACACTTACTTACTTGCTTATGCTTTCAAAAAGACTACACATGTCAAAGTAATGCACTGTATATTCTGTGTGGCAAATTTATCTGGTAACACTGGTAATGTTAACTTGCAAATCAGCACCACCAGTTAGAAATAATAATTGTGTATGCAATTATACTCTCATAATGATGACATGCACATTTTGATCAATGATTACTTATAATATGAAACAAGGCAGAGTGCAGAACTCTGTTCTTGTTCAGTATCCATTCTAAAACTGCCTGTTTTAATGGGATGTCTGCTCAGTCCTGGTAATTACTCTGGTTGCAACTTTCTGAAACTGTAAAAGTGATTTACCAAATTCTGTTTTTTGGCACAGATTTCATAGTCATTCTTTGTCATGCAATGAAACTAAATTTGCTCTCTTACTGTTCACATGTATCAGTATATAAAGTCATTATTAAGTTATATCAAGTGCTGCTGTTATTTTTTTAAATAACTAATATTAATATTGAACTTAACACATTTCCAAAACACACCAATCTTGGCACTGCACTTTCCTGGGACATTGACAATACACACGTGTGAAGCCGAGAAGATGAACGTATTCTAAGTAAAAACAGGAATCAGGTGGATATCTGGTCGCAAATATGAAGTTTGATTTCTGCATTCCATGTAAAGCACTTTAATAATACTATGACTGTGATAATATGGTAATTACATTAATGTTATTATTGTTACAAATATACAAATTCATTAATATAGTAAACATAAAGTACATTAACTATTAACGTGGCACTTCTCAAACTAAGCTCCAATTAGATTTAAAAATGACTATTAATGAGAACAGACTTGTTGATATTATTTCAGTATTAGTATATTTAGGCAGGTATTGTATCAAAGTCATAATTTTAGTATCCATGGAAGCAGCATCACATAATAATGTAGTAGAACAAACATTTATTGATAACATATTTTGACTTTAGAGCCATGTTGCTCTCTGGAACAAACAATAGAGTCAGATAATGGGAGTGTGCTCACGGTGCCCGACTGCTCCTCTGTGACTGTAAATCCTTCACAGCTGATCCACTCCCTGTGCCTGAACTCGAAACCTCTGCTTCTTTATCTGCTGCCTCAGTTTTTTCCTGATTGCTCCGTGTTTTCATGACAGAGATAGATTCACTTCTCCAACCTTCCCCTGTGGAGTTATTGCCTCTCCATCTACACGGGCTGATTACATCTGTTCAACCCCGCTCTCGCTCACGCACAGGTACACACTACGGCTGCTCCTGTACAACAACCTGTTAAATTCCACAAAACACCCTGTCCTGCCTCTTCCTCTCCATTCCCTGTCTTCTGACTGTGTCGGCCCACCTTCCCTCCTCATTTTACCACACACACACTTATATTCAGGTATTCATTGCACACACACGTTCCCTTAGCTTGGACTAGTACAAAGTATTGAGGCTGAAAATGTGCTAACTCCCTCGTCTCAGCGGCAGGACTTTGGCAAATGCTACAAAGGCAACGAACAAACAGCAGGGGAGTCAGACAAGCACACATCCAGAGTACTTCTGCAAGGGCAGTGGCATTAAAGGTGCAGTATGTTAGTTTTCTTTACTGCCTGATGTGGATTTTTGGTGGTGGTGATGGT